ATTTTTAGGATAGATATTTGAATGTATAGTCATTCAGTTTTCAATAAAGTGTCTTGTCTACATTTTCCGTCATGGTAAATAAATTTAGGCTACTCATTTTGTTTTCAAGTACTTTGGGAAAACAGGTAGCTATGAGCTAAAGAAAGGAAGAATTGCAGAAATATTGAAAAACTTAATTTCTTAGTCACTTTTTTGTCACTAAGACACCCCAAATTTAAAAGAAGAGGGGTTTCTTTTGGCTCAGTTTTTCCAGATCTCAGTCCCTGGGCAGCCGGCTTATAGGCAGAAACAGCATGTAGAGGGACATGGCTACCAGGAAACAGAACGAAGGGAGGATCTGGGGAGAAGATGCCCTTCTAGGTCATGCCCACCTCTAACCAGTCCCCTTCCTTACTGCACACTCACCTGCTGATGAGCACTCTCATAATCCAATCAACTTTCAAAGGCCCCACTTTGAGTGCATGGGAATTTTGGGGAAATTCTAGATCTAAACCACAGTATTTATAACCTACACCTATTCTGGAGTGTTGGCAGTGATGAATGAATGAAAAAAGATCCTCCTAAAAGCAGAATCAGAGATGTTTTTTGAGGGTTTAATGCAGTATTGGTTTCATAATTGATTAACCTTTAAAATTTTGCAGTTCACTGGAACCATTTTACACACAATCTAGTCAAAAAGCTGATGGAAACATTTTTGTAAAGTATTTGAGAGAAATGGGGTGATGCACATTTATTCATAATAACTGAATTAAATGATTTAGGGAAATCAGTTAGTAACATTTTTATCATAGCATATAAACCCAATGATTTGAAATTACCTATGGGCAGATACAGATTCTGCTTTGGTGCATTTAAATATTTTAGCCTGAATGAATTATTATTATTGTTGCTATTTGATCACATAAGTAGATTTTAGTGTGAAAATTGTGTGTATTGTATGTATGTATGTATGTGTGTGCAGTGAGTGATTACTGCCCATTTTGCATTTTAGAATGGAATAAACTTATTAAATGCATATTTTTGTCCACATTTGTAGTTGCTTTAAAACTGGTATTATTCTGCATTTTAATTTAGAGGATATTGAAACTGCCAGTTTGGTTTTATGGAATTTCAACATATAGCTAGGAAGGTTTAAATATTTTTGGCCTTCAGAATTGAAGTTAGTATTTTTGAAAGTGTGCCTGAACCATAATATATTATTACTAATGTTATTCATCTTATAAATTTGGGAAACATCAATTCAATTTAAGTTTATTGCCTCAGAGTATTTGCCCTATATCTGACTTGGCTTGTATCTCTATTTAATTTCTATACCAGGATAAGAAATAGATATAATGAAATGATGACTCAAATGCCAAAGCCCCCTGCCAATTCCAATAATAAGGAATGGTACTCATTGAGAAAATACAATTATCATTTAAACATGTTCCTATATTCCTTGCAATTTAAAAAAATCAAGCTATAGGCAGGCTTCTTAGTTAGAAATGGGTAGTAATCTCATCCTTATATTTGTAGTTCTGCTTACTCTCATACATTTGTCAGAATAGACATTTGAGAGGTTACAGTTGCCCCAAATTGAAACTATATTCACTAATGACATGTAGTCTTACCCCGATGAATAACATTTAAAAAAAAATTAGTATATGAACAAATTTCCAATATGTAGTGTGCTAAAAAATGAAAAGAAGAAAGAAAAAAACAGCTTAAAAAATTAGGTTCTTTATAAATTTGACCTTGACATGCATTATTTCCCTGTAATAGCTCTTTTTATTATTAGATTATCCCATGTGACCTGAACCTATAATTGTTTAGTTGGCTTTGATAAAAAGTGCTACTTTACAATAACTAAACAACTTTATTCCTTAGTCTAACACTTGAAGGCTTTCATTATTTAGCTGTTGTGTTTTTATATTTATCAGTGAACCACCACCAATGCCATTAAGAAAAAGTCAAGAGTTAATCATTAGCCACACAATGGTAAAACATTTGCAGATTGAACTGAAAATGCTTTGAGAAACTATAACTGTTTGACTAGAAGAGGCATATGCTCATAAGTAACTTGGTGAGAAACTAAGCAAAAACAGAAAGGCATTTTCGTAACCCCAAAGGATTTACATCTTGCTCTTGCTGTAAACATGACTATAAACATGAAAGTGTTGGCCACCAGGGATGTCCCTGAGAGGCATCTGTTTCAGTAATCCATGGCGGCTTCAGTTCAACAGTCTTGAGGTCAGAGGACACTCTCAGATGGCTTGACCAGGCTTTAATCCTATTGCTTGGTCTCTTCTATGTCTTCTGTAAGTCCTCCTCCCTGCAGTCTGTGTTCTTTTCTCTTCCGCTCCTTTTTTCTTCACTGTATGACATTCTGTTTTTTCATCTTCCTTAAGCTCAACTTCTTTTTCATCACCTTTTTTATCAAATGTCAGGCATTAAATATGAATAAATTAATTATTAAAAAACCCAGGTACACCAGTAATAAAGACTCAATTAGAAATTCATACTAATTTGTGATCTTTTGCACATTATTCAGATCTAATATTGTTCTGAGAACATAGAAGTTTCTTAAACAGGTCTTTTGAGTTCCTAAGCATTGTGATAAATTTGAGAAATTTGCCCGCAGTCCAGTGAGCAATCTAGGTTTTAATATTTAGTCATTTAAACCCAATTCACTAAAATATATCTCAAGATTTCTTTGTATGGAGTAGAACATATTTGTAGAGAGATCAGGGCAATGGCACATAGCTCTCTTCTCTCACTATAGATGGAGTCATGATATGTGGGCAAAGTGTCAACAGATTGAGAAAGAAGTGACTCTCACAGCCCTGAATTCATTAAATCTCTTTAATCTCTGGATGTCAGACTTATCCATCTGGAAATAAGAAGACTAAACAAATTGCTAACATATGTACATTTATATGAGGTCAGTTTATATGAGTAAAGATTTACCTCACCCCCATGATTTAGTGAATTCAGATTAATTTTTAAAGAAAAGAAGTGGGAATATGACTTATCTACTATGAAAAACTCATCCTACTTTCAAGACTAAATTAAGATAATTCTCTGACATCTTAGATTGCCTGAGAAAGTTATTTGTGACAATTAACTGACATAATCTATGTAAAATTCTTAGCATCTTCAGCTCCATGGTTAAAATGGGTATAAGTTCATCATTATTACTTTTACCACTATTATTATTAATATTCTTTTCCACTTATAGTATTTCTTCTACTTCATTCTTTTAGTCACTTCTTGCCTTAGAGAAGAAAGTCCTGAATAGTAGTAGCTTAATACTACTAGATAGTAGTAGTATTAATAAGTTTAGAGAAATATCAGGCTCACAATATATTCACAAGGAAGTTTGAGCTCCACTTCTTTCCTTAAAAAGGATGCTATTGTGAAAGGAATTGATTGTCCCATTTCTCTCCCAGTGAGTCTGTTTTCCGTATACAGAAAGCTATTGATTTTTGTGTTAACCTTGTATCCAGCTACTTTACTGAATTTGGTTATTGAGTCTAGAAAACTTTTCGTGGAGTTCTTGGTCTTCTATGTATTGTACCATGTCATCTGCAAATAATAACAATTTAACATCTTCATTTCCTATCTTTATTCTTTTTTTTCCCCTTTGGTACTGGGAATTGAACTTGGGACCTTTGCTTGAGAGGTAGGTGGCAGATATTTTTGTTCTTTTAATTTCTTTCTCTTGTCTAATTGATGTGGCTAATGTTTCCAAAACTATATTGAACAGGAGTGGTGATAGTGAACATCGTTGTCTTGTTCCTGATTTTAGTGTGAAGGATTTCAGTTTTTGACTGTTTAGTATGATATTGGCTGTTGGGTTTTCATAGATGGCTTTAATCAGATTGAGGTAGAGACCATCTATTCCAATTTTTTGGAGGGTTTTTATCATGAGTACGTGTTGGGTTTTATTGATTGCTTTTTCTGCATCTACTGAGATGATCATGTGGTTTTTATCCTTGGCTCTATTAATATAGTGTATTACATTTATTGATTAGTGTATGTTGAACCATCCCTGCATCCCTGAGATGAATCTCATTTGGTCAGGGTGTATGATCTTCTTGATGATCTCCTGCATTCTATTTGCCAGCATCTTTATTAAGGATTTTTGCATCTATATTCATTGGTGAGATTGGCTTATAGTTCTCTTTTTCAGTTGGGTCTTTCTCTTCTTTGGCGATCAAGGTGATGCTTGCTTTCAGGAATGAATTCAGAAGTATTGCTTCTCTTTCAATTTCACTGAAGAGTTAAACAGGAGTGGCAGTAGTTCCTCTCTAAATGTCTTGCAGAATTCAGCAGTGAAGCCACCAGGGCCCGGGCTTTTCTTAGTAAGTTTTTAATTACGTTTTCAATTTCATTGATTCATATTGGGTTGTTTAGATATTTTGTCATCTTTGTTCAACTTTGTGAATTAATACAAATCTAGGAATCTGTCCATCTCTTCTGTATTTTCCATTTTAGTGGTGTATAGGTTCCAGAAGTAGGTATTAGGTAAAAGAATCGAAAAACCAGGACCAGACCAGGACTACAACAAGCCTTTATTGAGGGAGGATCTGCCAGGCTGTCTCCTAATAAATGAAAAGCAGCATGGAGGAGCAGGGAGCTTCTTTTATAGAAGGGGTGGGGTTAACCTGAGCTTGGGTGGAGTTGAGTTAGGTAGCATTAAGAGAATGGAGGAGCCTGTGACATCACTAGGAGGGGCTTGTGAGGAGGTAGCAAATATCAGGTTACTCTTTAGGCATGAAGAAAGGCATGATGGGAAGAAGGCTGTCCCTTGGTAGGAGAAGCTATATTTAACATTGAAGCTGCTATTCCAGGTGGCAGCCATTCCAAGGCACAGAGCATTATGGGAAGGAGGCTACTGTTTTATGTAGCAGCCATCTTGAGGCAAGGGAAATCTAACAGTAGGTATTGATGATACTCTGGATTTCTGCTGGGTCCGTTGCAACTTCACCATTTTCATACCTAATTGCATGGAATTGAACCTGTTCTTCCCTTTTTCTGGTAAGGTTGGCTAATGGTTTGTCAATTTTGTTTATTGTTTTGAAGGACCAACTCTTCGCTTTGTTGATTTTTTGTATCGTTGGTTTAGTCTCCTTTTCATTGATTTCTGATCTGATCTTTATAATTTACTCCCTTGTATGAGATTTGGGTTTGTCTTGCTCTTTTTTTTTTTTTTTCCAGAAGCTTGTGGTTTAGCATCAGGTTTTTAAATAGTGCTTGCTCTATTTTTCTAATATGAATATTCAGTGCTATGAATTTTCTTCATAAGACTCCTTTCATTGTGTCCCTTAAATTCTGATATGTTGTATAGTCATTGTCGTTTAATTGTAGGAACTTTCCGATTTCTTCTTTAATATCCTGTGTGACCCACTGGTTTATTCGGGAGTGTGTTGTTCAATTTCCATGTGTTTGTGAAATTCTTGTGGTTTATTTTTCTATTGACCTCCAATTTCATTGTACTATGGTCTGATAATATACAGGGGATTATTTCAATTCCTTTGCATTTGCTTAGACATGTTCTATGAGCTGGTATGTGTAGAGTGGTGCAACCACTGTGGAAAATAGTATGTAGATACCTCACAGAACTAGGATTTGAAGTCCCATTTGACCCAGCTATTCTCCTGCTAGGTATCTTCCCTAAAGATTTAAAAGAATCATACCATAGTGATATATAATGCACCCATGTTCATAGCAGCACAATTTGTATAGCTAAAAGTTGGAAGCAGCCCAATTGCCCATCAACTGGAGACTGGATAAAGAAAATGTGTGTTTTAGTGGAATACTACCCGGGAATAAAAATGAGAAATTAGAGACTTTTATAGTTAAATGGATGCACCTGGAGGCAATAATCTTAAGTGATATAAATAGGACACACATGTGTAAATACCAAATAGTTTCTCTAGCTTGAAACTGAACGTGTAAAAAAGGACTAAAAGGCATAATAGATAATGTGAAATAGGAAGAAAAGGGACAAAAAGGAAGGGAAACTGGGAGGGGGTATGGGAAACAAATCAGAATGGAATTAATATGAGAAAATGAAAAATAATGGAAACAAAATCTTTGTAGTTAGGGAGGTGTGGAGGAGTTGAAGGGAGGGCAGGGAATGGGGAAAAATAAAAATCAAGATTGATTATCTAAATAAGAACCAAGAATGATTATCAAATTTTCAGCAATGAATGTCATTAAGAGAAATTTCAAAAAAAAAAAAAAAAAAAGGATCAGAACACCCATTCTTACAAACTCTGTGGGAGCTCTGTTTGAGTCTGCTTTTTATTCAAATGCTATCACTGTTTTCATATTCCTGGTCTCCTTTTCAGAAAAAAAATTGGAATCGAATTTTTATTACCCGTGTCTGCTAATATCTTTCATGTCCAATTATTTTGCATTTACTTTCAAAATAAAATAGATTAACATAGGCATAAACTGACCCAACAATAGATTTTGAAAAAAGATAACATGAATTCTTTTGACTTTTTTTGTTCTTGTTGTTTAGTAGCAGTGCTTTAGAGAACTTTAATAACAACCCTGAAGAAGCCCAACATTTGAAACACATCATCCCTACCACAGTTCAATAGTATTGTTATTCATCGTCACCTTTATTCTCAGTGTTGGCACTGAGGAAAAGCACACCACAGATCATATTTTTAATCCTCAGAAATATCCTTATGTATATCTTATTAGTTAGATGCTGCAAATAAATGCTAGGAAGTAACTTTCAAAGAATGTAAGAAAAAAACTTTGACCTTCTGTGGTCATATCTCTTTCCAGAATGTTTCTTTATCATTTTAGACAGTGGCCAATCTTTTTATAACATGATGATTGAAACGTTTTAAATATATTTACTAATGTTATCATACGATAATGAAACTGCTGAAAGACAAGTTTCAGTTGGCTGTCAAGAATACATTTCTTTAATTTGAATTTAGATTGGGAAAGTGTGAGCATTTCTTCTCTATTCAGATCTTAATATTCCATTAGATAATTTCAAATATTGAATTGTAATTTTAGTGATGGACAACTTCACAATAAAGGCTTTCTCTGTACATTAACAGAACACCAGACATAAGTTCATTAAAAATTATCTACAGTTTGCTGATGTAAATATAGATTGAGATCTTTCATTATAATTTTGTATTGTTTACATTTATCCATTTGAACAAAAATTTCTCCTTTAAGTAGATTGGAGAAATTGAGATTTTGATGAAGATATTGGCAGTATTTGTGCTGGTCTTTACAAAATGTCTATTGTGTGAACTGAATATATAATTCTATTACTATATAGTCATTGCATTTTGTATAGAGAAGACCATTGAGATTACATGGTGAATTATATGCATTATATACCCCTATGGGCTTCCTCATGTTTTTTTTTTGTCATTGAGTTTATTGGTACATTTTAGGTATACAGTACAGTTACATTCATTATTGGGATCCTGTACCTTTACATAATAGGTCTTGGTTCTCATTTTTTCCCCTTGTCACCTGCCCTCCCTTCACCCCTCCTCCCCTCCCCATTTACAAACACTTCATTTCCATTTTTTCATTTTCTCATATTTTTTTCTTTTCCCTTATTAGCTTTCCCCTATACCCTTCCCACTTTCCCTACACCTTTAGCCCCTTTCTTCCTACTTCACATTGTCTATTATATCATTAGGATCTTATGTACTATTATAATTTTTTCACACCAGGGAAACTATTCGGTATTTACACATGTGTGACTTATTTATTTCACTTTGTAGTTTATCCTCAATACATATCCATTATCCTATGAATGAATTTAATTCGTCATTCTTTATGGCTGAGTAGTATTCAATTTTATAGAAAAACCACATCTTCTTTATCCACTTTCCAACTGATGGGCAAATGGGCTGTTTCCAAGTTTTAGCTATTACAAACTGAGCTGCTATAAACATAGGTGTGCATATATCTCTGTGATATGATTCTTTTAATTCTTTTGGAAAGGTACCCAGCAGGGGGATGGCTGGGTCAAATGGAACCTCTAGTCCCAGCTCTTTGAGGTATCTCCATATTGACTTCCATAGTGGTTGCACCAGTCTGCACTACCACCAACAATGGAGGGAGGGTTCCTTGTCCCCAGTAGTTCATTTTTATTGCTGAAAAATATTCTATTGCATACATAAACTGCAGTTTGTTTACCTGTTCACTTGATGAACATTAATTGGGTTGTTTTGTAACTTGGGTTCTTAGGAATAATATTGCAGTGAATGTTCACATATAAAAGTTTGTAAGGATATTTTTACACTTGGGAACAGGTGAGTTGGGGGACATTTTTGTTGTTTTTGAGACAGGACCTCCATATATAGTTCAGATTGGATTTGAATTCACTATGTAGCCCAGGCTGACCTCGAACTCGCAGTGATTCTCCCATCTCAGCCTCCTGAGTTCTGGGATTATAGGCTGCACCACCTCACCTGGCTGTATATAGAGCTTTAAAGAAGATGTGAACTGTCTTACAAGGAGGCTATACCATTTTCCATTTGACTAACAACATGACACTTCTACTTTCTTATTTTCTCCAACACATGGCATTGACCATCTCTTAAATCATGGCATCCTCATAGGTGTAAAGTAGTATGTAGGGTTTTATTCACATTTAGTTTAGTTCTATTCACATTTCTCTGGTAATTAATGATACTAAACTGTTTTGGGGGCACTTATTAGCAGTTAGTATTTCTTTGGTTAAATGTTAAGTCAAATGTTTGGCTAATACTTAACTGCTTTATTTTCTTTTCTATTATTGAATTGTATTTTAAAAAGATATACATTTGAGGTATTATATTCCCTCCAAAGATGCTATCTTTCAGAGAATATTTTGTGAATCTTGCTTCTGGCATGATATCTAAAAATTATTTGCGCAATTCAAGGTCACAATAGTTTTTCTTCTGGAATTTTTATAATTTTAGTGTTCACATTTAGGATTGTAATCTATTTTGCGGTAATGTTTGAGGTAACTTTGTGTAATTATTTTTCACTGTGGATATCCAATTGTCTTTACACTATATGTAGAGATGAATTGCTTTTGTAACTTTGTTAAAGAAAATCTCTTGACTATAATTTTTTCTTAACTTTTCTCTATTTTAAAAAAGTATACATATTTATGGTATATCACATGGTGCTTCAAAACATGTATATATTGTGTAATATTCTATTCATTTCCAATGTTTTTTATATCTATCTACTGGTAATACATATTTTGGCTACTTTATAAAATTAAGTTTTGGGTATTAAAGGTGCTCCAACTTCGTTCTTTTTAAAAATTGCTTTGACAATTCTGTTCTTTGCATTTCCATATAAACCGAAAAATTAATTTTATTGGTACTTTTGATATAAATAATGATGAGATTCATCATAGGGAATTTGTACCTGTTTGTAATATATCTTGATTCTTCTTTTTATCCCCATTCTTCTCCCTTCCTTTTAACCCTTCTTCCCTCATTATTTACAAAAGCTTCGTTTCTATTTCCATATAAATTTTATGATCCACTTGTCAATTTCTAAAAACAGGCTGCAATAGTCTTTTCTTTTTCTTTTTCAGTGCTGGGGTCAAACTCAGGGCATTGGATGTACTAAGTGAACACTCTACCACTGTTTTATACCCTCAGCCCAACCGCTTGAATACTGATAGGGATTTCACTGAATCTCTAGATAATTTAGGAAGGAAGGCCATCTTAAAACTCCATGAAAATGACATTTCTTTAACTTCTTTTGGATCTTTAATTTTTCTTAAGAAGTGTTTTATTGTTTTCAATGTAGGAGTCTTGCATTTTTAGAAAGTTTAGCTCTGTATATTTTGTTCTAATATTATTGTAAATAAAAGTATTTTAAAACTTTATTCTCATTTTCATTTATAGAGAAGAATGTTGATTTTGTACATTGATATTAAGTCCATACTAAATTCGGGTTAGGATTTTTTAATATTTTAGAATAGAAAAGTCATTTAATATTCTAGAATGCTAATTTGGGAGGTTAATTTTTTTAAT